CTCGGCTTGGGCTAAGCCGAAGGGCCCGGGTTCGATTCCCGTTGGGTCCCTCAATATTTTTCCGTCGTCGGTTCCTACACTAACCATAAAAAGACAATTACTTTAAACCTCCTTAAAAAAATAAATACTTTAAATCTACTTCAACAAAACAGTTACCTCAAGAAACAACTATTTTAAAATTGTTTAAAGAAGAACCTACTAAAAAAGAACCTATTTCAAAAAAACAACCACTGCAACACATTTAAACTTTCAACAAAGCCACACGTCACGACCGTTTAGACTCTGTTCGGTTTTCCAAAGGGTGTCGATTAATTCAAACGAGCCCCATTTGAAAACTTACAGAAGCCTTTGTTTTTTTCCCCAGTCTCAGACGTTTCTGCCTAGCGGCTTCAGTAACGTGGACAATGAGAAGCTGCTGCGTCAGAGTGGATTAGGTAGTACGCAGACAGTGGCAGATCTCGCGTCGGAGGATCTTGTGCCGCCTCTGCCCGCCTCCGAAACGTTGCCGCCGGTGTATCCGGCTCAGAACTTCCTCCCCCAGCGGCATCGCGCTCCGTTGCCTCCGAAACAGGAGCCGAGCTTTTCTCAAGAGTTCCCGAACTTGTCCGGGCAGCCGGAATTCAAAGGCGGCCAGCTGTTGCCACCGGGAGGACAACAGAGTGTCGGAAATGTCGGACAGATCGATGAGGAACAGAGGCAGCAGGGCGCGAAACATTTGAAGGAAACGGGTCAAGTATCGTTGGTGCCTCAAATTGAGGCTGGTCAGGACGACGAGGAGGAGGTTGGTGGAAATCTTTTCATGGGAATGAGAGTGAGCGATTGGAAAATTATGGAAATGAGGAATTGGGAAAGTTGAGCAAAATAACAAATTTAGAAAAGTTGTAGAAATTTCGAAAGTAGAAAGAGATGTTGTGAATTAACAAAAAAAAAAAACTATCGTCTTTATTCTAAAAATAGGAATTTCAACTGTACCCAAATGTCCTCGTTTCCCTCGCGAAAAGAGAAAAAAATAAAAAATTACTCCGAAATCCACTTAGCGCCTCTTTAAACGTTCCCCAATTTAAAAATTTACATAGAAAATGATTTTCCCTTTGACAGGTGCAATTAGTTTACGTGCCAGCGGAGACCCTAGCCCAGCGAGGTCAGCCAAAAAGAGGCCGTGGAAGGAAGCAATACCCTCTGCGTCAACAGCAACAGCAACAGCCGCCCCAGCAACCGCAAGCACACCGTGACAACCAAGGGGTGGAGCCTGGCGTGCTCGCACCTCACGACCAGGACGCCTTCGCTCGTCAAATTCTCCAGCAAATCCAAATGGAACGTGAGGAGAAAACTCAGTTCCTTAAAGAGGAGAGAATGAAGGAGATCGCCAGACTGAACGAGGAACAGCGAGTCCTGGAAAGGAAAGCTCGGCTTCAGCAAGAGGCACTTCAAAGGGAACAAGAGCTGCAACGTCAAAGAGAAGCGGAAAAGAAGAAGAAAGAATTGGAGAAACTGGAAGAATTAGCCAAGCAACGAGAATTGGAGAGAATTCGAGAGGCCAGGGAGAAGCAACGTTTGGAAGAGCTGGAAAGAAGAAGATTAGCTGAGATCAGGGCGAAAGAGGAGAAACGTCGAGCAGAAGAGGCAACCAGACAGAGAGAAGCAGAGAGATTAGCTGCATTGGAGAGACAGAAGGAATTGGAGATTCAACAAGCTTTGAAGCAACAACAGATCTTGGAGAAGCAACGTGAAAACGAGGCTAGGCTAGCTGCAGCAGAGAGACCTGATAATCGTGACGTTCACACTCAGTCTCTTCCATTAATCAGAGACCAACAGCAACAGTTTCATCGTCAACAGTTCTCAGAAGGATCCAAGCCACCGAAAAGTAAGATTAGAGGAAGACACAGGCAGAGAAATCAATATCAGGAGCAGCAGAATTATAGAGAACCAACCACAACTCCGTCCCCTAATCAACCTCCGTTATCAGTCTACATGGGGAGTTCCAGTTCGAAGACGAACAACGTCAGAGTGTCTGACGTGTTGAAAATACTGAAAGATGCAAAGACTATAGCTGTTCTTGACACAGTAGGTCCAGACACACCTCAGGTATTCGTAGGACCGACCAGCCTGGAACCACCAAATGGATATGCCAAGTTTGACCTACCTTATCTCTCTTCCATCGATCACAACAGGGTAGAGAGGAAAGTGGACAAGTTACCATTCTTCGTAGCACCGCTAAGCTTCGATCCTCCACCAGGTTACTCGAAAATCCCCTTCCCATCGCCTCACATAGGATCAGTAGTAGTCAATACTATAGACAATACTGATCCAAAGGAGAGTGACGATCACAATCCTAGTCCAACTCCATTGATAGAGCCTAATTCGTACTTGGAGAGCCTCGGTGGAGGACCTGAGTCTACCACACCGTTGTACGAACCTCAGACAACTATCAGCTATGCTCCAGAGTTATCAAGTACTCCGAAATACGAACAATCGTACACAGTTACACCGTCGCCTGGATATTCCGGCTCTAGGTTCAGATTCAGACAGTTCTACGGTGACAATAAACCAGCCTCTGTTGTCGGTACCTCCTATTACGACGATCAAAAGCCTTCGACGAGGAGGCACAAGTATTACGACGAGAACGTGAGAACCACCGATATTCCTATGCAGAATCCGAAGGTTGAAACTTCGGTCAGTCACGTAGAGGAGATTTCTTATTCGACTACGCCCACTTACAAAGAAGAGACTATCAGCTCTCAGGATCCCTCCGGTCAGTTGGCTCTGATTAATCAAGAGCTGGCTCAGCAAAGGGAGGCACAGAGGTACAATACCGGCGGGCAGGAATACGGTGAACAAGGCTCTCAGCTCTCGACTGGTCTCGGTGGCAGTTTCGAGGCTGTGATCACTGGCGGCGAGGTTAACGAGGTTAGAGCACCCGTTGGACCCACCCAGTACAGTTTGCCGGCGGAACTGCCGGCTATTTCGCCGCATCTGCCTGGCTTAGTGAACTCTCTGTTGGACAAGAACGAGGCGAAATTGCAGGCCAGCACGACCAGCACTACGACGAGTACCACGACTACTACGACCACGACCACGCAACGTACACCGACTACTACCTACAGGCCACGCAGTAGACAGAGGTACGTTACTTGAAATTATGACGAAAGGTTATGTTTGTTGAGTAAATTTCGTCCAGCAGGTGGATGAAGATTTAGAGTGAAATTAATTGGTTGGTTGAGATCGCTCTTATTAAATTGTAGCGATACGAAGTTTCACTGTGAGGATAATATTTCTTCCACTGACTGTACATGGGATTTTAGTGATTTAAAGGAGGCTCAAGTATTGCTGTCTTCTTGCTGATTTTTGCAGAGGGTGTTTTATTCATCTCAATATTTAATTTTTATGAAAGTGTAGTTCTTCTTGGTTCTCGTATAGGGGGTTTCATTTATTTCGATTATTTACGAATTTTCGAATAAAAAATACTTTCGTTTCGCAATAAAAAGTAAACGAAATTGTTAACTGTAGAAACAGGGTTGTTTCAACGAGGCCAAGGACAACGACTCAAACTCCGTCCACTAGAGCAAACGTGGATAGAAGTCGAAGACCGTACAACAGATCTAGGTCCAGATTCACCACCACCACAGAGGAGTATCGCGAATCCGCTTACGAGCCAACTAAATCCAGGATCCCTGAAACTACGTTGAGATACAATGCGGAGCACAGGAGGCCGATCAGTAGAACGCAGAAGTACAGGAGCCGAGATAAGACCAGTCAGCAGACTGAGGTAAATCCATTTCGTCGATTTATCATTGTATACACGCGAACAATTAATAACACTTAGATAACTGGTTCCCTCCGAGATTGATGATAAATCGTAAGATCCCTTGTTCCGAGGGAAAAAGGAGAAGATCAATTAACTGGAATTGAATTTAACATTTTTACTCTGTGCACTATTTTTTGCACGAGAAATACGTGTACTTCATAGTAATTAGAAGAATCTATTTTATATATCAAAATTCTTTTTTTAAATTAAAAAGAAATTCTAAATTGCATTACTATTTTTTTCACAATAGAAATAGATATATTTAACCGTTTAACTGTGTTCCCCTTTGAAAGAGAAATTGAATCCCCCCGGTTTAGAATTAAAAACGAGTAAGAATTGATAAATGAAAAAATAAATTATTGTGTCCTAACTGTTCGCTAATTAATGACGAGTTAACTCGTTTTTCACAGCTAAGAGGTCAATATTTCACATGATAGTTACGTAATAATGTTGCTATTTTATTTAATAACAGTATTGTTCCCAGAAGGCTGTGTTTAACAATTTTTCTCACCAACGCTATTTCGTCTGCAAAAAATACTCCGCAAAAATTTACAAAAATTCTCTATACACTGGTACTATAGATAGAAAATAAAACGAAGCTTTCCAATTTCCGTCACGTCATTTACATACACCTGAACCAACGTCAACAGGTCCCAGGGCACTCTCAGAACGCGCAGACACAGCAATCGTCGTACGACACGGTGTCCCATGGGGACTCCTCGCCTACGTCGAACGGTTACCTGCAGCCGAGCGGGCCAGAATCGAGCAGCCTTCGTCAGTTGGATTCCTCGTCGAGTTTGAACGACTATTCCCCAGAGAACTACCCGTCGACGACTGTCAGCACTACCGAAAACTATCCACCTCTACGCGACGTGACCGTGAATCAAGGATCTACACTGATATCGGACGATTATTCAAGAAGTCAGACCTATCCGCAGAATCTTCCGGAAGATCCACGTTATCGATCCAACTACGACCAAGCTGCTCTGGAAGAAGCTGGCCTGGAGAAGAGTCCTGTGAACGGGTTCAATTATCAGGCACAAAATGGCGAACTGTTGGACCAGGAGATTCTTCAGAGATCGAAAGACTATCAGCTGGATGGCAAGGCTGAGAACAGCGATTACGAACTAGCAACCACCGCTGATCCAAGGCTAAGGACGCAGGAGGATCAACGTTACTCGTCGATCTACGAGGTGAACGTTCCACAGACGCAGCCAGAGTACAGTTTGACCGGACAGGATACTCTGCATCGTTCGGAGAGCGAGAAGATCCAGACTGGAGTGGCTGAAGGTGATCCTAACGAGCAACCGATATTTATTCCTCTGCCGGAGAACAAGCAGGAGGATTACGAGCTTCCGGTTTCTTCAACGGAGGCTCCGTTGTCTGAGGTGAGCACGGATCTGATGTTTTTGGGGGATTTGAGGATCTTTCAAATTGTTTAACACGTTGAACGCCGGATCAATTCTACGTAACTTGTCCACGGTGTTGAAATTAATTTTTTACTCTAATACAACACATCGCAATATGCGTAAATAATAATTAGAAATAAAGCTGTATATAAATAAATATAGGAACCGACGATAGAAAAATATTGAGTGACCCAACACCACCCGGGAATCGAACCCGGGACCTTCGGCTTAGCAAGCCGAGGCTTTGCGCGCTACGCAAACCACTCCCTCTCTATTCTCCGTTGTCGGTTTCCTATTTTAATCTGCGGAGGCCCCGATACTACATAAAGCTATTTAAATATGCTGCGTGACACATTGGATGAAAATTTTCCAAGTATCACCATTTACTCGAATTAAACGCTTTTACCAATCTTGGCACCGCCGGTCATCGATGACCCCCACGGCATTCAACGTGTTAAGGTGTGATTTTTTGTGGTTGGAGGTTCAGGGAGATCGTACGGCTTATTTGTTCCTTTGAATGAACGTTAGATAACAACAGAGACAACTACAACCAGTACAACGCCCGTGGTAATTCGACAGCGAATTCGAGGACGTGTGGGAACACGTGTGCACCATGAACCGTCTGTTCAAACAAGAAACAGAGGTTCACAGGACGAGTATGTTCGTTTCAACGTGGTGAATCAAGATTCTACACGAACCACTCCAAGTCGTCAGAGAGTTAGGTCAAGGGCTCGTCCGCAGAATCATGGATCGCAAGTTCAGACCGACGGAAATGAGTACATAAATATTCATGCTGTTCAACAACAGAGACCAATCGTCACGACGACGCCAGCACCGACTACAACAACTACCACTGTGCGTCCGACGGAAGAGGATCTTGATTATGGTTTCATAAGGGCACCGAACTTCAGACCCGTACACCCGGTGGATAACAGGTATCCGGCACCTGTTACCTACCGGCCACAACTTCTGGAAGTGAGTGAATTTGGCAAATTTTTTTATTATTTTGAGAGAAAGAGTGATCGACGGTTTACTGGTTTTTGAAAGAGTTTACATTTTAACGAAAAAGTGTTAGTTATTCTAACTCAATCAACGTAGAAATCCTTGCGAGCCAAACTATTTTTATGTTATTTCACAGATTCTTTAGTCAGCTCAAAAAGTTTCTTTAAAAAATATACAAATCCCATAATTAACAAATTCTCATAAAGTAACTTAAAAATTGGAACTTAAAGAGCTTTCTCGAACAGTGTTTGTTGATCTGGTTTTTAAAAAATTTTTTGCCTCCACTACCTCTCTTTTGTTAAACTTATTTCGTATTCTTAAACAAGTTTACTCCTTTCTCACTCAGTACGCCACTAACGGACATGTTGTGCTATTAGTGCACACCACGAATGTCTCGCGTTTTTGGAGCTCCCAGTGTGTCCTACTGCGTTCTTCGTTTTGACTGTACACTTAAGACTTTTGGGTGAAAAGGGATCTAAGACCTTACGTGAAACAATTTTTCTTTCCAACGCGACATATGAACATAGACAATAAACGTTTAAAATAATGTTAAGGAACGTAAACTTGATTACTAAAAATATAAAAAGGCGGTGGGTAAAAAAAGACCCGAAGACCGCTCTAGGGTTAAGGATGTATGATAAAGGGAATGTTATCTGTATTTTAAAGTAAATCCAGTAATAAATCTTCATTTCGAGTTTTTGAGGCGACGCGCTTAGTGGATGCCGGGTATAACCGGCGCTAGTCGCGAAAGGGTTAACCGTTTATACGTTAAACAAATAAATACACCTTGCCACTCGTTCCTTAGAAAATCATAAATCTGATAATCTTACAAGAGCAATTTCTCAACATTCCAAAAGAAATCCTGTCCAGGAGAAACATAAAAAAGAAACCCGTTTGTCCTCCAGGTGCCGCAACAATCACTGCTACCAAACGACGAGACCGCAGTAGAACCGAGTCCTCCACAGACGCAACTACTGAAGAACCGTCAGAAGTACCAAGCGACGCCCAATCGTCGCCTATCGCTCAAACCAACCACTCTGCCACCTTCCACAACCACAACACCAGAACCGACTACCACGACAACAGAAAGAATACCTGTTGCCACAGTGTTGCCCGAGGACACGATCTACACGGTGAAACCGAAGTCACGACCAGACGAGCCGAAACAACCAACGAGAGTAAGAAGTAGAATTCGTCGACCTGGAAGAAAACGCGTGTCAACCACAACTAGTACCGAATCAGCGTTAGAAGCGCACAACGAGTTACCGTTAGACGAGAATTATCCGCGTGTACGTCCTCAACCAGTGACCACCGAGCAACAACAGACGCTGTACGATGATAATTACGATAGTAGCAGCGGGGGATTCCCCGCAGCTGGTCGTAATCCATCGGAGAATCAGTTCTACGGAACCTCCAGCGAGAACGTGAGTGTGTTCAGATAAACGTTAATTTAACCTGAAGAGGTGATATGTTCAGTTGTAACACGGTTGTTCGTATCTGATTCTTTATTCTGCGGTTCTTTTTGCAATTGTCGCCCGGGCTGCTATTAGTCTCTTTTCTAGTTTCTAGTCTCTTTGAAATCTCGCGCTTTTATCGTCTTGCCTATCTTTCAGTGGGGGGCACATCCTTGAACCCGCGAGTTCGTTATCGCAGGTGCGACAAGGATAGCTACTCGCGGATCATCTGCCGAGGCGGCGGTTGGTGATGTTTACTTTGCCTATAAACGCGACTTGTCGACCCAACACAGTCGAATGATTCTCCGGGCTGGTTCTGTCGGCTGGTGGTTTCGGCAGAGGGTAGATTACTGGTCTGATAGAGATTATAGGCGTAAGCCTGGGTGCTCCGAATCCTTCTAAGGGCGGCTGACAATAACTGTCCTTCGAAAATTAGCCTACACTCCACTGCAATCGTTGTTTCCCACTCCGTTTTAATATCTGTCGACGTCACATGCCCCTAGCTTTGCCCGCGGGCAACGACGAGTGCCCGTGCCCGAAACAAACGTGTTCGAGTAGAATTACGTCTACTTTGGTGCTCGACGAATTCACCTTTGAATTTCGAACTTATACTCGACGTCACCAGCTACTCGTAATCACTCTTCGTTCCTTTAATAGATAATCAATTAGCGCAGAGCGTGTAACAGTGATCTGAGATATTATTAGGAGACTGTTCAGACAGATTAGAAGGGACGATAGGGACGTCTGATTAGAAATTCGAGTATAGTTAAACTGAGCCTGTATAATGGAGTAAGTTTCTTGTTTCTGGCATGCTGCTCCAGTTCGAGGGCTCCACGCCTGTTCTTTTATCGGTTCTGGCATGCACTGGCCGGTTTGTGGGTCGCGATAAGGGGAGAATAATTGGCGCGTTGTGATATGGAAATTTTATAGGAGGTTACACTCTCGTTCATAAGTATTAAGACACTCGCTGAAAGTGAAGCACATTTAACGTTATCGCGAAATTATTAACATACTAAAAAGAAGAATTATTCGTTCGTTATGCAAAAGCGAGGAAATGTAATTTAAATGATATAACGGGTGTTCTGATAATTATTATATTTCACGTGTTTTTGCACGCCATTTTGAGGGATGTTCTGAGGTGTTGGAATGGGAACGATGAGATTTTTGGGAATATTAGATTCTAAATATTAATCGCTGCTAATTCACTTTTTCTATCTATTGAGAGAAGTATTAGGTTGTCCGGAAATAAATTGCGGTTTTCTGTTATGTCATATTTAGGGCTTTTCTATACTATATATTTTAAATTTATGCTTATCAGGTAATATACCATTTGAACGTGTAGACGTCGCGCTGTCGTATAAGCGATACACTTTTGTTTTTTACCGTCATTTGTTCTGAGTATAACTTAAAAACGTAACAATGGACAAAAAGCAAATTCGTACTATATTTTTATATGAATTTAAATTAGGACGTAAAGCCTCAATCGTGTATTCGGTGAAAGCACAACTAACAAAAGTTATTTGTTAAACAAGCAAGTTTGGTAAATCGTAAGGGACCTATATTCCTACACGATAACGCCGGCTCGCACGTATCACAATTCACGATTCGGAAGATACACGAATTGGGTTATGAAACATTAATACACCCTCCTTATTCGCCCGACTTATCCCCTACAGATTACCATTTTTTTTTAAACATTTCGATAACTGTTTGCGAGAAAAGATCTTCCGCAATAAAGAGGATGCTGTAAATACCTTCGTGGAATTTATTAATTCTAGAAATCCTGATTTTTACTGTAATGGAATAGGAACTCTTGTAAAACGTTGGAAAAAGTGTATAGAATCTAATGGAAATTATTTCGATTAAGTAAATTCATTCTAAGCAAAATTACACGTCTTTAAATCTCATGTACAGATACCGCAATTTATTTCCGGACAACCTAATATTTCGAGTTTTTAACATTATTTTAAACGCTAACTATGCCGGACTATCACTGCGAACCCTCGTTAAAGACCCTCTTCGTTAACTCCGTTTCTAAACTCTCCTCCCCTGATGTATACACTGTTCGCCCTTAAAGAGGACTCACCCCTTTCATGCACACGTACACAGAGGCACAGAGAGTATCGCAAACAGGTTTCCTTTCTCGACAGAGGACCGCGCTAAATGTTGTACCGCATCGTTTTCAGTGAGATTCTGCAGGTGGAAAAAAATTGAAATACTTGCTTTTGAATTCGAAAGATTCGTAACCTCTACTGTAATTTACTGTAACAACCGTTAAAAACCTCAATGTATCACGTACTACATTCGGAAGAAGAAAAATCCTGTCTTAAACGTGAAATATTACGCACACACTGTTCTACCTAAATTGTAACTTGAAATTTTTCAAAGTACCTGAAAAATCCAAATTTACACTCCGAAGCGAAATTCTTTATATTGTAGTATCGGGGCCTTCATAGCCCAAAATAGGAAATTGACACGGGAGAATAGAGAGGGAGTAGTTGGCGTAGCGCGCAAAGCCTCGGCTTGTTAAGCCGAAGGTCCCGGGTTCGATTCCCGTTGGGTCCCTGGATATTTTTCCGTCGTCGGTTCCTACAATATTAAAACCTCTCGAACGACAATTTGCTAAAAAAGAAAGTTCACTCTTGAAAAATTCAATTTCTTCCTTCCGGAAATCTTTCTTCCCATCGGACCTGAAAATTTGCATAATCACGAAAACTTGGTTAAAATTCCAGTATCCTGCCGAGTTCGTTCTGAACTTCGGCAACTACCCCGGCCAGACAGTTCCACGCGAGGAGTACGATCAAACACAGCTGGCCAGCAGCGCGTCGAGGAAGTACACGCAGGCATCGAGAGCGAGGCCTTTATCGGAAGACGCTCACTCGACGACGGCGGACATTTACGGCGCCGAGAGTCAATGGTCGACGAAATTGACGAGGACCTCGTTCCAGCCGAGTTTCGCGGTGAACCAAGTGTCGGGGGAGTCGTCGAAGGAGCAGCATCAGTGGTTTCACGAGTCGTTGAAAGAGGGGAATCCGCCGGAAATAATCACGGCCGCGCCGGAGATATCGTCTGTCACGTTGCTGGTCTCTTCTGACGACAAGAAAACGGAGAAAAAGAAGGTGGAGGAGGAGGAGGAGGAGGAGGACGAGTCGGTGTTGATGGGTACGACGATGTTCGGTAGGAAAACGAATGCACAGGATCACACGGAGAAGATGAACGGTGGTGGAGTGACGACGACTGAAGGAGCTCCATTGGCCACCATAGAGAGGAACGGAAGCGTGGCGGAGAATAGACATGACGGGGATTCCTGGCTGATGGACAGGTCTGGAAATGCTACGGAACAGCGGAATATCGATTTGGAGAAGATCGCGAAGAAAAATGACGGTCCACCGGCGGCTGGTAAGAAGGTAAGGGGTGTAGAGAGATTCGATGATTGAGGAGCTTCTTTTTGAGGTTAGGTTGGTATACACTACAGATAGAACGTACAGCGATATTTTTAGCTGTCTTATTCTTGAAAATTTATCATTATTCTCATCCTGGTTCTTACGTTTGCGGTTGTTTGGTGATCGTACGAAGGGTTTTTCTTTCTGTTTTTATCAGGTCACACATTCTTCTATTTTTGCTGTAATTTTTTTTTTTCGACTATTGCTGTTGTTTTCGGTATAATTGTTTTTTGTATGTTTGGGTGAATGTGTGTGTGTATGATTAATGTTTCAAGATGATTCATTATTATTATTTTATTATAAACGGGATCAAGTCCCATTAGTGTACATAGGGTGTATAAGCATTCAGAATATAATACATAATACATAATTCATAATTCGCGGGGACGTGTTACCATTAGTTACATTAATTTGTACAACAAATTTTTGAAGCCGTGAGCACTGCTCGAAAAAAAGTTCAAATGCGTGCTTAGTTTTTCGGCTTCGATGCAGACACGATTTATGGGATCTGAATTACCGACTGTAGTCTTATAAAGGGCTGGATGGAACAACGAAGTGGATCTTAATGATCTTGATGGTGCATAAAAATTTATAGATGCTAGTAATTGCGGACAGCAAACAACGCTATTAATCATTTTATGTAAAAACATCAGATCATTATTACATATACAAGGTTTCGATATTCAATTTGTTACCGATATCGACTAACTTCTAAACAAACTAATTCGTAATGATACTATCGACAGTAAGAGGAACACATTTAAGTTCACCTAATCCTGTTTCCGAATGAAACTTACGCACCCCTTGAAAAGAAAAAGGTTTCAATTAATTGGCGACGTTAAACGTTCATTTCTGAAAGGGGAAACGTAGAAGTTTGAGAAAGTGCGGGGACCATAGGTGAGGCCATAAGATTGCAGAGTGCCAAGGTTATGGCGCTCTCTTTACAGCCTGAGGCCACGCGGAGTTTTCTCATTATTACTTCTTTTTGGAGAGGATTAACGTGGTTTTTCTTTCGGCGAAGACACGGTGTGCTGCTATGGGGTTATTGGAGATCGTTAAAGGCATGGAAGAAGGGAAGTTTAATATTAGAGTGCGAGAGCTTGGGGGATGGTTAAGGGGGAGAGAAAGGGGATATTAATATCGGTATGAGCGGTTGCCGTGGAGAAAATCTTTGTTGGATTGTTACTAATAATAATGCGTCAGAATGAATTGTGTTATGTATGAGAAACACTGTTTAGTCAAAATAGTATAACAGCCGATGCAATCCTGGTCTCTTTTTCTCAAATGCGCAACAGACTTTCTGTCGTGCCTTTACGAGTTTTTTCCTTCAGTTCGACTGCGATTTTCAAAGCGCTACGACGTTCTTCCGCGGCGAAGAAAATAAAATACGTTTAAGAGAATTTGCAGTGAACACCATTTATTTAACCCGTTAATCCAATAGTTTTCTTATCAAGTGACAGAGGTGACCGGTATTGAACTCCCCCTACATGTGAGTTATACAGAGTTTTGAACGTTTATATTAATCTGTCTCAGTATGTTGATCAGTTTTGCTGTTACTACTACTACTACACACACACACTCATTCCTCCTAATAATCCTATTGGATTATGGGAGTGATGGATTGTTAAATAATTAGTAATCCTTATTTCAAACTGTGAACTTTATTTCACACAAGGAAGGTTCGCTTTTCTACTTGATGGCAAGAGTAGGTATACGGACTGAGAACGCTCCTACGCAACACCCTAATATTGCCTACGATCCCGCTTGGGATCTAAGGGCCTTTTGTCACGTATCATAAACATGATACTGACTAACTGACTGATAACTGACTTATAAATCTAACAAATCCAACAGTCAATTATAAAATAAAAATTGCAGGAAAAATTGTAAAGTTAAAAAATCGAACACGACTAAAATTTAAGGGAAAAATGAGTTCAGAATCTCGCGTACACTGCAGAAAGAAAGAAAAACAAAAAAATAACGACGAGGAGAAAAACACAGAATAATCTGTTCCAGACTGGTCGAAGGAGAAGAGTCCGCGTTAGAGTCAGACCAGCAGTAGACGACTTCGTCACAGCCGAGTCTCAACACTTCAATTCCGCTCTGAACGGTCTGTTTCGAGATCAGTACAAGTACAATCCCGTCCGCGAGTCGAAACTTCCAGCTGCAGCCTCTAGTCTGCCAGGGAAATCGGTGCTGCAAGATTTTCTAGCCGAAATTCTGAAAAACGAGGAATCATCCTCGAGAACGACGACTACCGAGGTACCGGAAGTAGCATGGACGATGTCTCCAGCCATGACCACTCCCATGACAATCCCCGAAGACCTAGAGGAGACCACAGAAAATCAATCCACCACGATTCCAACCACAGACAAACCAGAAGAGACGACCACCGCTAGGTCCCCTTTGGAAGACTTCTTCTCGAGATTAACGCAAGACTCTTCGCGCGAACCGACGAGAACGAAGGAAGAGACGAAAAACGAGAAGAAGACGAACGACGAGAAACCGTGGGAACTGGCGAAGAAATGGAACCAGAACGGAATTCAGAACACCTTGAACTTCGGATCGATCGCCGAGAAATACACGATTCAGGAGAACCGTATTAATAAATTAAACGTTGACATGGAGGCGTCGCGAGGAGGCAATCAGGAGGAGAAATTGAAGCTCTCCGGGAAGCAATCGAAGGTAACAGAGGATGAAATCGACGAAGAAACACCGTCGGAGTATCTCGAGGGTGAAAAAGGATCGAAAGACGCGGAGGGCTATCCGAAGAACCACAGAGCGAAATGGAGCGAAGTGAGATATCCGTCGTCCTTCGATCATTCTCAATCCTCTCCGTGGAAGTCTGATCCGAAGACTGACGCGAAATCCAGCGGCACGTCGATTCCAGGTTTGATAACGAAAAACGAAGGAGACACCAGTGTTAAAACACTCTCGGACTACGTCCAGGCAATTTTCGACACGATGAAGAGCGCCGAAGAGGAAACGACAACCGTGAACACGGAAAGTCCCGAAGAAATCAGCACAACTGTTCAACCACCGTTGCCGGACGGAGAGTTCTCCATTCAAGATGGTTCGGGACAAGAGAAGACGACCGTAAAGGACGTAGAAGTGAAGACAACCACTCCGATGACCTTGGAAGAGGCACAGACAACGATGAACATAGACGAGGTGACACAAACGACCGAGTCGACGAATGATATCGATTTGGAGAACGCGACGACCTTGGACAGAGGCAACTTGGCCTCGGATAGCTCGACGAGTTCGTCGACCGAGTATTTCGTTACCGATTCACCGACCACGACAACCACGAAGACCAGCAGCACAACTGCCACGAGCAATTCCACGGAATCGATACTCGGCAAAGTTCTACGCACATCGACGACCACCAGAGTCTCTCACATGACGGAGATTTGTTATCGAGGTCGATGCGTGATGACGAGGCCCAGTAGAGATGATCGTTCGAGATGAGGGGAGTGTTGTAAGCATTGAAAGTGGAAATTATTGTTCCGTTTGTTGATCGATCGAAGGAACGGATCGTCTGTATATGTATATAGATAAAAGGGGCCTCGTTGATCGCGATCTTCGTAACCGAATTATTTATTCCATCGGGAGTGTCGATTGTAGAATGATTAAAATGTGGTGTGATCTATCGTGGAGATTTCTTTACGCATGTTTAGCACGTCGTATGTTAATTTTGGTGGTTTCTGTTTCTTGAAATTTCGCCGACGATTTTTGGTCCGGTTGGACGGGTAGAGAATCTCTGTGGAGGATTTTCATTTAATTTCGCTTTGATTACGTGGGTGGTTTTTTCGAGATTGAAATTTCCGCGATCAAGTGTGTAGAACGATTATTTTCACGTTTTAACGGCGGATTTCGTTGAGATTGTTCCTTCATCTCGAAGGATTAAGGATTGATGGTGCATGTAGAAAAGGGTTAACACGTTCACTGTCACGCCACGATTCTTCACTGTCACCATTTGTAACGTCCTTTATCGCTATTTAATTCAGTAAAGTTCTTTTTCATCCATCATTATATCATTTTTTTCGATATTTATAAAATCACCGTTTTTATAAATACAACGGTGGAATATACCGCCACAATTTTTACTATTTATAGCAATTGTTGTAACACATAAATTATTCAAAAAAAAATAATTTATAACATGGTATATACATCGTTCGAAATAAGAGTAACCTCGTTTCGCGCACGGGACGTGCCTAAGGCAGGGCTACCCTCTGCTACGCTCTCTGTCTATGCGCGGAACGGACGAGAATCGGTCCGAGAGCGAGGTTACTCTTATTTTGAACGACGTACAGAGACACAGCGGAAAAAGATCGGTAAATTTGATGTGCCAGTCAACGTGTTAGAACAGTGAAACGTAGCGTAATGCGTTATACAGGGTGTTCTCCAAAAATCGTAACACAATCGAAAATGAGCGAATTCCTGATGTGAGAGTAAGTCGAAAATATAGAGTAAAATTTTCCAAGAAAATCGAACTTTAATGTACACCTCGTTTCCGGTTGTACCACGATTTCCGGGACACCCTGTACATACCCTAGTCAGGGTTGTACCGGTTCGTTGAGTAGAAGTGAAGCAACGTTTGCATGATGAATCGATCGTGCGTCGCGACGCTTGTTTACTGTTTCGGTGCGAATCCGGAAACGGTGGCCCTTGCTTTAAGTGTGAAACGATAGAGGGCTAAGTCTATTTAACTTAATTCTACCTACCGCCTACTGTTGGTACACGTGTAAGTTAAGCGTTTAAGTATTTTAATAAAAACACACGAGAAAGCAACAACGTGTCGTGTCGGTCTGCACGCGACCACGAGTACTTTGACTTCCTGTTTAGCGACGTCCCATCGACCCCTTTTGTACGTTATGTATAACGAGTGTAATTCACCTCTTGTTTCACGAAACACACAGAGTCTGTACGTAATTAGACGATTATATTCAGACGAGGCTTTTTTTAAATCTCAAAATAAAATTTTTCTTTTATTGCAGTCCAAAGATGCTTCTTTCTATTTAAAAAAAAAAAAAAAAAGAAGAAAGAAGTATTGCGATATCTATACTAGTTGAGCTGAAAAAAATTGTTAAAGATTGAAGATCTCTTAAGATCGAAGGTTTATTGAAAAATTGTGTTCTCCTGTTTTATTAGCGATAAAAAAAAAACCAAAATGCTCTGCATTCGCGAATTACTCGGTAGAAAAAATTCCTTCAAGGATCCCTTCTTTATTGGGAATAAAAATTTTTTCAAGGTCTCCCTTTTTATCATGCATTACATGGCCACCGTTGCACTAGAATTTCTATGTAAAAAATATTCCTTCTTTACCGACAGAAAAAATTTTGGACAGATTTAAGGGTTAATTGAAAGGTTCGTTCGTGAGGAAATGCTCCCGTACACACGGGGTGTAACGAACGAAAATTTGACCTCGATCTGATGGCACAAAGGGGAAAGGATTGAATCTGAGGAATCGTTGTAGCCGAAGGGATTAAATCATTCGCCCGAGAACAGTGCCAAGAATAACGTTTCTCTTATTGTAGCTCCCGCGATTTCACGATGATGACGTACGGTGTGAGAGGAAAGGGAAGACCGTTCCACGTTTTCCATTGAAATGGGGGAAGACGGACAACTTCTGCGAACGGTTCTCGCCCCCTTTCGCGTTAAATTGAGCCAACAAACTCAGCCCAGACCGAAGTTCAATGGAGTTCATCAGCCTGGTTGCATCTCTTCTAATTAACTTTTCATTGTTTTTCGCGAAAACTTCCTAACGATGATCGAATCGGCCGCGAGTTTAACTGTTATCGCTCTACCTAACGATCCTTCATTATGAGTGTCGTTGGTACCTTCTTATCTGATTGCTCGAAAAATGAAGAATTTGTCGGAAGGGTTAAGTAATGAACCGTGAGGAAAGAATTAATTTTTTTTAGCACCATTAAAGATATTTTCGGAAATTGTAAGATTAGGGAATTAATTAGGAATTAAATTTGGAAAAATTTTGAAACGAAGTTAAACAGTACCGTTCAAATATTTACTTTAATCTACTTTTGCCTGTATCTCATTTAAGCTTTGAATCTAAGAGTGTTCTTTTTCCCTTAATGTGAAGTTTTTCTGGCGATAACTAAATTAATTTTTGCCTGTAACTATCAATAATAAATAAATAAATATATATCGGTAAGTATGGCGGTGTCCATTGATCGATCGAATTTAATTCGTTCAATTCGTGGCATTGGTTCGATCGTCTTTGAGTGTACCGCATCGAGATGCCCTCACTCGATTATCGATACACGCGAAAGGCTTCACGTTCGAGCGGAGAAAATTATCAAAGCGTGCCGGAAGTCGCATTACGATCATTTTCCAATAGCTACGCTTTCCTGTCTCTATCAGCGGGCTGCATTCAATCGGGGACCGAGGCATTGATTTCCAGTCGATATCTGTGCCACAGGAACGACACCACTCTCGCTTCTGATGGCCACTTCAATTCCGGAAATAGGAAATAATCTACTCGACGCTGTCTCGAAATAGACTAACGACGGTTCGAATTTAGAGCGTGCCCTTGACACCGTCGAAAGAGTCGATTTACCTTGTCACCGGCCTGTAATCCGACACTTTTTAACGCGTCACAACGTTCCCTCGCAGACGCAGTCAAAACACACCACGAAAGCTCGATTTCCAATACGTGTGTTAGGTTATGTCGTTTTCAACGCGACGACGTTGTCGATCGATGATTGGCTTTCAGTATCGATTGTATCAATTTATCAGCTCAAATACATCGAACGTTTATCTTTACGACAATTTTTCTAATGTAAAGAAATATAAAATAGAGAAATCATTCGTTGTTTGTCAGTGAATTTTAATTTTTTATTTTGATTACATATTTCATAGGATATTTTGAAAAATCGATGAAATTCGAGGGGTGTCAAGTGATACTGAATATTCTGAATATATACGAAAGAGAGGTTTCACAGCAGCCGTGAATGTCAGACGAACCCTTAACCTAATTTTCATATGGCACGTATGCTTGAGGTTTCCGGTGGTGTCACATGGCGTGGAAAACGACGTGGAAAAGGGAGAAAAGAAAAAGTGGCACGAATCGTAGCGAGTAGTCGAGCGAGAAATGGCGTTGCACGGAATCGATCGCGAGTCGCGTCTAAAGTTCGCCACAGATGGCGGGACTACGCGGATATGTTCCCCCGTTCCGAGGAAACGTCGGGAGTGAGTCATAGAGCATCGACATCGGTGGGCCGCAGTGGTGCGAACGCGGCTTTCGCGTGGTCAAACTCGCGTTTCAACTTTACGCTGTTTAGGTAAATTCGAAGACATTTTTTTGCATCATTTTCAAACCCATTCCCACGATTTTTCAATAAAATTAAATCGTAAAATGTGAGCGATGCAATTGCAATACTAATTATTAATTCGTATTTCTACTACGAATGCAACGAATAACAAATATTCCTTCGTTAAATATTTAAGACGTCCTGTAGACATTTTTGACGTTGGAAGAAGAAGATAAAATCGTAATTGCATATTTGTTAACGTGTATAATGGTCAAAGATGAAAAAAATCTTCACCGTTTAACCTCAATTATATGATGAAATTAGTACTTACGTATTCTCGAAGAAATTTCCCCGCCAGTAGTGAGCTGATCTCAATCTTGTTAACAATTGAAACACTCGGTGATACGTAATAATCCATATAACCGTTTAATAAAATAAACCACTTATATCCGACTGAGACAACTATCAATTATAATCGAATAATTTCTAAAAAGCTACTTAACCTTATAGTGATTCGCGCGATTTTTCTACATTCTACCAAATAGTCCGATTAATTCAAACTTATTCTACTTACAAACGAGCCTACTGCAGCCTACAAACATAAATTGCACCTTAACACAATCGATTTATATAATCAACGAATTGAGTCACACACGTTCATCTTCCAAGTAATAACCAAGAAATAACTTACACTTCTTAACGTAAACAGAAAAAAATCGCCAAACCTTTGAGAAAATTGCTCCCATGTCAATGCGCCGCGAGGGTGGCGCCACGGCGCGGCCAGCGCCGCGAAACGCTGCAGTGGTGTCGAAGGGCGAAGAGAGTCCGCGACTGTAAAGAAGCGAGTAGAGAGGTTGCATAGAGGGAGCGAGTTCAGTTCAGGCGCAAAGGTCCTCGGTTAAGGACGCGACGGTCCTGCTAATCGGGACACTATGCCAGGCGGCGAGGGGTCCCCGATCAATCTCCTCGACCACCATGCATCGACCACCTCCGGCGAGTGCGCGAACAGTGATGAAGATGAGAGGACAACGGGCACCGTTTCCAGCACGATGACGAACGTCCTCGCGGGCGAAGGTCTGAGACGGAGGAAGGTCATACACGCGGCCAAAGAAACCCTCGACAAGGGTGAGTCTTCGAGTAACCCCCTTCGATTCATCGTAACGTTTCACGAATCGACGTGTCCCCCCTAACCGTGCATCGTTTTCTAGTCATGCCTTTCATTTTCGTTTCTCACGTTAGTACAGAGTTAGTACGGTATAGTTTCCTCAAGATGCTAGTTAGAGTAATACACGATCAACCTGTCACTCTTAGTTGACACGTATCTCCAGTGATAAACACGGAGGTGTCGAATCGAATAATCGACAGGGCCCCCAAACTGCCAGTCCAGTCGATCGCATAATCTAACAACGTCTATACGATACATCGATACACGGATCATCTTCCTTTCTCCCTGCGAATCTACGTTTCAGTCAGAAAACATAAGAAACAGCGTCCCTTGTCCGCAGTGCGCGCAGCCACGGATGCTGTGTGGCGGCGTTGGTGCGCGCGTTCACAACGCCGTTGTAAGTACATAGAACGAAGTATGTACATACATAAGTAAGACGAATTAAACGACTGCCTACCTAGAGGGGGGGAGGGGGCGGTCGTTACGAAAGCTCGCGCAATAGTCCTCGCGAAGGAAGGATCATCGATGATCCTCCGTGCTCGCTTATTTTCGTCCAGGGATCGATTCTCCTTCCGAAAATCGTTCGTACACACGCCCACCCGCCACTCATCCCCCTTCTTCGTTGCCCGCGAACCCCCTCTGAACACAGCTTATCTCCCTTTTTCCACTTCCACCCGACTCGACTCGACTCCGACTCGGCTGCGTACGCATATCTTGGTTCGCGGTTCTTTCGCAACCGCGCGATCTGTCGTGCCCGACGCCGATCGGCCCTCCTCGTGTCGACGCTTCGAGATCTTCGCCGCGCGACTCTCTGTTGAGGAGTGGGGGTAACGAGTAGCTGGAGTGGGGGGCGGGTAATCGCGTGCAACCTGCACGGCGACCAGAGCGCATTGTCGCCTAAGGGCATTGCATTTTCGGGCAAATTTCAGCGATACCAGTGCGGTCCGATTGGAATTCAAACGCTGCATCCCGCGGTTTCTCCCCCGTCGATACTCGTGGCCTCGAGCGTTCCGGGTTTCTTCACCCTTCGATCAGTAGAGATACGATCGGTCACGGCTGGACCTTTTATATTGGAAGTTTGTTTCTTATCGGGATTCTCAATCGTTGTACGCCCCCCCTTGTGCTTTCTTACCGCGCGCTATTTGAAATAATTAGAGGTCATCTGGTCGATGGAAGGATTAGCCTCGAGCCTCGAGGGGGATCTGGTGAATTATCTGAAAATATCGAATTGTAGGATTTTATGAAAGAAAGGTTTTAGGGTATGAAGATTTTGTAAGAAATTCCGATCATCGTAGAAATGTCCTCCTTGAAATTTGTAGTTCTCTTTTTCAGAGTGTTCAGAGACTTGGCAGAAACGTTTCAAGTTCTTTAGCGTTAGGATATTGAGGATTTAAAAGAGGAAAATCTTCTGTAGTTTCTTTTAAGAGGTTGGAAGGATTTAGACTGGCGCCTTACAATGTTGGAGGATTTGGTAGATTCACTGTTGGTCCTGTATTAGACATGATCGTACTATACCGTAGGATTCCTTTGTACAGTCGAAACCTTTATATCTGCACGTGGTAACCAGACTCTTAGTAGTTGTTCGAAATAATTGGATTCACCTACTTAAACGACTTCCTCGAGTGAGGGGCGGGGGGGCAATGTTTAAGTTCCTTCTGTGCATTATCTGAACGATAATCCCTTCGTTATTTTAACTTCTCAATTCTTCAATTTTTTCCGCTCTATATGCTCCACGTCGCGAAGAACTCATTTTTATTTCATTGTATGCCATTTGTATAATACCAAGATGCTTAAATTGGCACGATAATTGGATACAAAAGTACTTTTCGTCACGGTGCTTCACGCTACAAGAATTTTCGATGGCAATACTTTTTAATAGTAAGGAAATTCTCGATCGCAATATTTTACGTTCAAAGAACTTTCCAAATAAAATATTCCACGTTAAAAAATTCTCACTCACAATTTTTCATAACAAAGGACTCTCCGAGTGCAATCTTGAACATTAAAGAATTCTATTAAAGTAATCCCCAATTACAACGCTGCGGTAAAAAGAACATCGTTCAGTCACAATGCTCTGTTAAAAGAAAGCTCTCAATCGCACTGATCCGTTAAAAAAATCTTGAATCGCAACACTCGACTGACAAGAATCCTCGATCACACACTCGAGTGAAAAACTTCGAATCACAACGTTACACTGAGAACAGAAAAGGAAAAGCTCTGAATCTGAACGCTTCACACCGAAGGAAACCAGCTAACCGCCACTTCGGCGTGGCGTGGCGTTTCCAGCGTTGGTTAACGAGCGTCGCCGAGGGTAAATTAGAGTTAAAGAGCGTACCGTAGAGGCAACGGTAGCATGCACGTATCCACCACTCGAATTCTCGCCGTGTGGATCGCGTGAACGTCGGCTGGTTACGTGACCCGAAAAATCCGCGTTAAACCACGAAAGGTCTTCGTTTGATAGTGATAATCGTATATCTCCCCTCACCCCGTTCTTCTCAATGTCCAGTTTATAATCTCGAATTGAAGAAGTAGATGCAAGGAGAGCGTGAAGTTATCGTGCGAGCGTGTTGAATATTTTTGGAAAATGTATTTTCCTTTTTTCATATTTTTAGTACAGTGTGGCCTTGGACTTGCGTACTAATTGGTTCCAGAGTGAGCGACGTAAGTCGAAAAAGACGTAAGTCGGGGTACACAGGATAGACACAAATTTTTTTTCCAGCGCTTGAAAATATCATTCCGGTGAATTATCGACTGCTCATCTGCTTACCGACTGCTGGAACAAGACCCGATCGTCATCTGTTGTTCATAGAAGAGTAAGTGCGATAGCCTTATTCTATCCCTATTGGCTTACTATAAGGGAAGACCTAAGAGTAACTGCGATAGCCTTATTCTATCCCTATTGGCTTACTAACAGCGAGCCGTCGCACGTTCCACTACATCTCCCACTTTTAGGCCCTGCGTGACGTCAGAAGCTTCACCTTAGGTTTGTCGGACAGTATGTATTCTATGCAAACATATACATTACCAGCCAAAAGTTTGGAATCATCTCCCACTTTTCATCGATATTAAATCTGCTGCTAATTTTTTATAGATTTGAAATTTATCTCAATTCTACATTTATCTACCAGCCAAAAGTTTGGAATCATCTCCCACTTTTCATCGATATTAAATCTGCTGCTAATCTTTTATAGATTTGAAGTTTATCTCAATTCTACATTTATCAATTTATCTCATATCGATTGATTCGAACGATAGATTTATTCGAACGATAAAAGATTCTCGAAGTCGATGACCTTTTTCTGGAAATCTTTGTGTAAATTGCAATGCTCGGTGATTCCAAACTTTTGGCCGGTAGTGTATATACATGTATTTATCAGATTAGGGGTTACATTTTCTTTTAAATTTATAGAAATGACAGAAGGGATGACATTTACAGTTTCGAATTCTTTGCTCAAATCACTTCCAGACTGATTCAGTAAGAACTAAACACTAAACTAGAACTAAACAGTAAGAACTAAACTCGGGGCCCCACTGTATATCGTTGCACGAAATATATCTAGTGATAAGGAACTGCAGGATCACCTAGCATATCGAGTTAAATTCATGTGCAATTTTTATGGAAAATAGTGAATAGTAGCGCTCATATTTTTTGAATATCATTACACCAAATGGTGCTGGTGATATGGAACTTCAGGACCACCCAGTATATCTAGTTAAATTCATGTGCAATTTTCATGGAAAATAGTGTACAGTAACGCTCATATTTTTGGAATATCATTACACCAAATGTGTCTGGTGATAAGGAACTTCAGGACCACCCAATATATCTAGTTAAATTCCCCTGCAATTTTTACAGAAAATAGTGGAAAGTAACCTACACATTTTTTGAATATCATTACACAAGATACAGCTAATGGAAAAAGCAGGAAAGCTAATATACGTATTCTTCCATTCACAAAAATTTAATAAACTGTGCTCTTTAACTAAACATGTTAACAATACTATTGGGCCGTCCTGAAAGTTCTAAGCGCAGTTTAAACCATCGTATCTCTGTTTATAATTGACATAAGTAACAAAAGTTAAACGGTATTTTCCTCGACGGTTAAAGGTGAATCCAACGTACTGTTCAAATTTTTCGTAAGATGAACAGGGATGGATATAAGTCGAACTATGTTCTCTGCAGTGGAGCGAGGATGTTGAATTTTTCGTGGTAACCCTCCACCGCAGGAGTAACTTTTACGGTACATCGGATTTATCTTCGAATAACGACTAAAATACCTTTTGGCTTTTTGTCGCTATCTCAATTAGAAACAGAGATACGTCAGTTTGAATTTTTCTTACATTTCGCTACGAACTTTCCCAATATTTCCTATTCTTCGACTTGGTATTTCCTCGAAATCAGCTGTTCGCGCTCACGCTCCTCTTACGCCTATCTCTCGAATTTCAAGCAACGCTCCGATAATGTTCACGAAACGTCGTACGTTTGATCTACGCCGATGTGCGACCATCTTCCACCACGATGCAGCCTTACTATTATTGCACAGGACGATACCACGAGACGTGGAGGAAACGCCAGCTTCGTCTGCTCGATAGGATTACGCGAGAGATAGGATTTAATGGGATTTATTCTAATAGCACCGCCTATGCTGTATCTCTGCGGTTTTCGACTCGGTTTTCGATCGCGGTGGCCTGCCGTGAATTGCATTCTGGGAATAATCGTGTAGAGAGGCTCGTTGGAATAATTGTGCGATTTCGTTGATTAATACTACGAGAGATTGTATAACGGGATCTAACTTGTTTCGGATTTTTCCGTGAAACGAGCGGGCAATTTTTGGAAAATTCGATTGGATTCGTGTGTGTCGGTAGGTTCGTTGTTTTGATTTCCGCCGATTAATTGGAACCGTGTCTGTTTCACGAATAGAAACTACGTTTTTATGAAAAAAGAAAATAGAGAACGTGA